GTTTTGAATTTCCAACGACCTGGAATTTCCTGGTACCCAACTAGCTCCTAGGTATGTTACATTTTACATTAAAAAAAAGGGGCCTTCCAACTCCTAAAAAATATCGGTCGTAAACTGCACAATCAGGCGTTTCAACAAATGTAGGAATTTCTGCTCGTATCGAGCGTTTCCCCAAAAAGTCACGGAAGTGTTTCCCATCCGCAGGGCCCTCCTCCCAGTCTTCTCATCATCTATTGCTTTCAAAATACAGAGCCGCACGTCCAAGTTGGTTTGTGTTTAATTGCAAACTCCCAAAATTATACAAATTTACAAGATTCTTGCGGGCATTCGCAGGTTTTTGCGGGCGTTTTGCGGGTAATTTTCGGCGCAGTATGGCGCAGTATGGCGCAGTTATGTGCCTTTAAAAATCGTTGGTGCTTGAGATATGGGAATGGCCTGGCTTGTTTCTGGGATGCAGCCGGGATCCAAGCCATGTTTGTGGTGATAGTTTGGCCATCAGGAAGCAAAACTAGGCAAACAAGTAAAATTATTTAGACGAGATGTTGAAAAAACTAGGTCATTTTAGGTCATACTCCAAAACTACTTCAACAAATTGATCGAAGGAATGTTCAGGTATTATACAACAAGATTTCAGGTACCAAGGCATGTGGCACACTATGACCCATTGAGATATCCAAATATCCACCAATGAGTTTGGAAAGGCGGAGGCTCATGCTTGTCTAGAGGCGGAGAAGGTAGACATGCTCAAGGGAAGTGAAAGTGTATGCCGTGCAGCGAAGTGAAAGTGCATCCTGTTAGCCCCCAATCTATGCAACAACCAGCAACTCGCAAGTTAGTTGCCTCTGAAGAAAGTCTGCCATGGATGATCCTTGTGGGTCAAGACTAACTAGTTAGTGTCTATTTTTTTTAGGCCTTGACCGTGCCCAGTTTTGGGAATATTCAAAAATCTTGAACTGTAGCCTCATGCTTCTGGTTGTAGTCATGGGTCCAGATTGGGCAGCCTCCAGCAACCTTTGTAGGCGGTAAACCTAAAAGTGACAGACATCAGCGGGTCCGCCGTTAAACTCGTAGATCCTGTCCCATGCAAAAGTTGACGTTGACAACATATTGCTGTGACATTTGATAAAATTTAATAAATACACATTTAAATCATTGAAATACATTTAACATTTAATGCATATTTCCAAATATTTGTTCTATAGTTCTTGTGTTGAAATCCCACAGGGCATATGCCTTAATTGAGCAGACTATGGCGCTGATCCAATTGCATGTAGTGAGGCCCGATTGCTGCGCTTTGCCTGTGGCATGACCTGCGGTTGCGACAAGTTGTTCGTGAACCCCTTGTATCGTGTACGACCTCAGGGATGCAATCAAGGCTCTATTGCGACGTCCACATTCATCTAGGACTGCTAAGTAAAGCATTTGATTTGCGGCAAATTGATCTTTGGAAGATTGAACACATCAAAATGACATGGTAAAAACTGTTTGTAGTTTGGTTTTTGATGATTTCCGTTCGTGATTTCTAAAAGAACACATGGTAGCCACTACGGATGAACGTGAAACGTAACCGGGCCGAGCCACTACCGGGATTATCCGCAATGTTGTAGCCCAGGTACTGTGGAAAATTCAGATGTTGCATTGAAGAACATGGTCTGGATTGATAATTATTTTCCTGGCACCAACAGATTTTCCATGATTTTCCTCCACAGCAATTCAATGCATTATGAGAATCTGTAGATTTTATGTGAGCTTTCTCCTCCTTTCTCTTTCTTCGCCCCACCTGAGCACTGTGCCATGTCAGAATTACGTGGAAGAATCGTCAGAGTATGATATGTCAGATAGAATTTTAGAATATTTCAGATAAATTTCCACATAGAATGTCAGATAAGCGTTAGATAAGTAGACTGTCAGAATCGCATGTCAAAAAAAGGTCAGGATATATGTCAGATAGAATGTCACAGAGAATGTCAAATAAATGTCCGATAGATAGAATGTTAGAATTACATGTCAAGATATTGTATAGCCGATCGAGTGCCAGATACAAGCAATGCCAGGTACAATGTCAGATGCCATGTCAGATACCCTCTGGTAAACAAACAGTTCGCTATTGAAAATGGCCATAGAAATAGTGGATTTTCCCCCAAAAAATGCTGATTTTCCATAGTTACGTTAGTTTACCAGACGGTACCTCCTGTCTCTTCTTGAAACACAGACCCTTGTCCGCCGGAAATTCATGGAGTTTCACCATGGTGATGGATCACACCTATGAATACACCATCTTTGGGATGGACTGCCATTTATCAGCTATGTGTGGCTTCACCAGGGTATATACATGCTCATTTATATATATATATATATCTAAATGTATACATATAATAATATATATATATATATTATATAATATTCTTAATTAAATAATATAATATATTATATAATATATATAATATAATATATAAAATATATAAAATATATAATATATAATATAAATAATATATAATATATATAATATATAATATATATAATATATAATATATATAAATAATATTTAATATATAATATGTATAATATATAATATAATATATATATATAAGATTTAAAATATTATATGTATAATATATAATACAATATATATTTATATAATATTAAAAATATAACATATAATATTTAATATATTATAGAATATATATAAATAATATTTAATATATAATATGTATAATATATAATATAATATATATATATAATATTTAAAATATAATATGTATAATATATAATATAATATATATATATAATATTAAAAATATAACATATAGTATATTATATATAATATATAGTATATATATTTTTTTTAAATATAATATACAATATATAATAAATAATATGTATATATATATATAAAATGTAAAATTGAACATATATATAAATATTATATATATATTATTGTATATCATATATATAATATATTTAATATTATATATATAATATAAGATATATATAGTATAATATATATATATATAATATATATATTATATATATAATATAAGAAATATCTATTATTTTTTTATAAATATATAATATAAATATACTATTTATAATATATACATAATATTTTTAATATATATAAATATTTTTAATATTTATAATATATATAGTATATATAATACATAAATATAAATGTAATAATATATATAATATATATCATATATTTAATATATATATAATATATATGATATAATATAATATAATATAATATAATATAATATGAGTATATATATAATATAATATAATATAATATGAGTATATATATATAATATAATATAATATAATATAATATAATATAATATGAGTATATATATATAATATACTTATAAACTAGGGTTTTGACCCGTACTCATGATTCCTTTCAATCAGGGAGGTCAATATCTGCAAAGTTCTCCACTCAAAAGGGGGGAGTCATATTCGGAATCCTCAGTTTCGTTTGGGGAGTCGTCGATGAACAATGGATGCTTAATCACACTTCGAATCCCGTGGCTGTAAGTGTGTGCAGATTCCCAGAGTTCCACACACTCTGCGTTGTCCGTGAGGCTGCTTGCAAAAGATGTGGGGAATGAGCCCGATCAATCATCAGAGAGACCGCGAAATCTCCTTTGGAAGCGACTGCACAGACGTCCTTTGAGCAAAATGTCGGGTGTTGGCTGGGATGCGGTTTGGTTACTTTGTTTTGGACATGCCTATAATGTACTTAAATCAAGCACTTCATTCACACCAATTTACATGTGGGTTTGTGATCTGAAACCTAGGATGTCCCAGTGAAAAGGATTCTCATGATTGTCCAGATGATGTAGTGAGTGGATTTGCAGCCCTTAAACCACTAAGCAATTATTGACCGAATTCAGATTTTATACTCATAAGTTGAGACAACCGAAGGCTGGGATAGTTGAAGAATGTGACACAGGAAAAAGCATTGCTGACAGCAAGCTAGCAGAATGTTTGGGTGATCCAAAATTATGCAGGTGGTTAAAGCTGGAGTTGCCTGGGGCCTGTTTGCTGAAATCCTGAGTCAGTGTACTGGATGCATAACCCGGAATGATTATTGCGGAATCCTCTTGGGCCCTTGGCTAGACCCCCATGGTTTTGATTCCCAGTGGCAGAAACCCTTTGTTCTTTCGGAATCTTTCGAACCATGACCTTTTTGTAAACCATGTACACCGAACGAAAGCCATTGAATATTTGCCATATCTTTATGATTAACCCACATTTACCATAATATAAAGATATACATGCATATAATTGCATATATATATATATGCTGTATATACAATAGCTGTAGCTGTAACATTACAGTTTCCTGGAATAACTCACGAACTTCACGAGGTCCCGAAGGAGCATCCGGCCTTTGTTCAGTCGCCAAGCTGCAGTTTCCCATGGGGAAAACCAGGTTTTAAACATTTTTAAGCCATCAAATGTTGGATACCCCGACAAATCCCTAGATAAAAACCTGTGTAAGTTGATCGAGGTTAATGTCATCCTGACCATCAGGACTGTTGGGACACGACTTGCCTTTAGGAATGATGAACACCTGATGTGCTTGTCGTTTTGAATGACTGAATGATTGCCAAACTGAATGAATGACTGAACTGCTCAATAAAAGATTGCATGAGTGAACTGCTATTAACGAAATATGCCTCTTCTCAGTTGCATCCTCTCTGAACTACCTCTTCTTTGAGCGAACCTTTTCTTCGGGCTAGTAGTTCGGAGCTACCTACATCCTCTCTGAGCTTCTTCTGCTCTGACCTATATCTTTACCGGGCTGCTTTTTTTCTGAAAATGTACTGTAGATGATCTATTTGTTCAGATTTCTTACCTGCATTCATTCTTTTGCTAGGGCTAGGAGCCGTGGTTTTTGTTGCCACCATTTCATGCTGCCATATGCTGCCTGTGTCAGGTTTTTTGACAACTACATCGACGCTTTATCCCACTTTACTGAGACCAACTTCGATGGTATGAAAGTGGTCGATGTGGATACGTACAAGAGTGCCTTGGCCAGCGCACCCTCTTGTCGACGCGACAATTCCGTGACAATGCGAAATTCCATGATTTTCACACCGGGATACTGTACCGTACCACGTTTTAGCTTGCTTGCATAGCACAACGTTGCCCAGTGGAAGCCTTAGCTGGCAATAGAGCATAGCTCCAATCTCGTAGATTTTAAATGGTATGTTGCTAAAACATGCTTAAACATGAGCGTTTTTGGGGTGCATTGTTTTATCCGTACCATTAATGATATCAATGCATGACTTTGACTATCCGAATGGTCTTTCCATACCCACAATGTGGATGACCCATCAGGAGATACCCAAGGGAAAATCATGAAATGGCGATGCGTCGAAAAAAAACCCTATGAATCTCCATATATCGAGGGCTTGAGCATCCGTAAATCCAAGCTATTTTGCAGTAAAGGGTTATCAGAATTTTGACCCGTAGCCACGAAACATATTGGTGGTTATATATATAATATATTTCTTGGTGAAATCCTCATATTTCTTGGTGAAATGGGAGTTTCCATGGGTTTCCATAAATGGGGGTACCCCCAAACCATCCATTTCAATAGGTTTTTTCATGATAAACGATCCATGAATGGGGGTCCCTGAGCAGTACCCAAGCACCTCAGTGGTCGAGCTTCGTTTTGGACTTGGCCATCTACATTGGAAATTTTACATCTGTTGTTACTATACTTTACATCCTGCTTCGCAAATATGATTTTTCCAGAATTTCCAAAGTTCAAAGTTACACACATACATACATTCGTACATACATTCATGCATGCATGCATGCATGCATGAGAATTTCCAAAGTTCAAAGTCACACACACATACATACATACATGCATACATACATACATGCATGCATGCATGCATGCATGCATGCATGCTTACGTGAATACCTGCATGCGTCATGCATGCATACGTGCATACGTGCATACATCCATCCATACTTCATACGTGAATACGTGCATACGTCATACATGCATACGTGCACACGTGCATATGTTCATGCATGCATCCAGAAGTACAAAAGTACAGGCATGCTTGCATCCATGCATCCATCCATGATAACATGCATACACGCATACATACAGTCCAGCACACATGCATCCACCCACGCATCCGTGCATCCGTGCATCTGTGCATCCGTGCATGCATGCATACAAGCATACAGGCATACATGCCAACATGCAGAAATGCATACATGCATTCATGGATACATGCAGCATACATGCAAACATGTAGCCCAGCATGCATGCACATATGCATACATGCACACATGCATACATTCTTAGAGGTATATGTGCATATGTGCATGCATGAATACGGACATGCATACGTGCATACGCGCATAGGTGCAGACATGGATACATGCATGCATGCATGCATGCATGCATGCATCCGTGCATCCATACATTCATAGTACCTACCTGCCTACCTACCCACCTGCCTACCTACTTACCTACCTACCGACCTTCCTACCTACCTGCGGACGTACATACCTACATACAGTAGGTACGTCCATACATGAATGCATACATGAATGCATTCATGCATGCATCATCTTGCATGCATAAATGCATACGTACATACTTTCACATACCTATACCTGTACATGCCTATACTTGCCTACACACACTTGCCTTCACATACCTATACATACTTATCCATTCTGTATATTATAATGCCTATACATACCTATGGCATTATGGATGCGTATTTTTGGGGACTAATTTTTTCCTAGTCTGAAGCAGTTTTGCTTGTTATTTCAGCATTTTTGGACTTTACATCTCCTATTTCACTGTATTTGCGGCGTTTTGCAGCTTTTTCGGAAGTCAACAACAAAATTAAATTAAGAAAGACAAGCTCCAATATGAAAAGGCAAAAGCAGAAGCAGGAACTTAATCCCAACATGCTACACATACAATTAACATATTTCAGCACTAACATCCAACAGTGCATTGCACTGAGATCCTCAACAAATTGTAAGGCCCTAAACAACCCTTCAATGCACTGACTGAATCAATAGAGGCCCTAGGCAAACTCTAAACCAGCCCTGAATAATCCCAAGACCAACTCTGAACAGCTCCAAATCAAACCCAAATAAACTTTAAACGTCTTTAAGTCAACCCTAAACCAACCCAAGCCAAGAGAAATACTGTAACAATCCTAGAGAACCCCCCAAACAAGGTGACAGCGCCTTCAGGATGCCATATGTTTGGCAGCGATTCTCAAAATCCTGCATTTTTCTGCGAATGCTCCTGCGAAGGGTTCCTTCCAAAGAGCTGCAGCCAAGAAACATCTTTCAATACCATCTTTATCATCTTTATCATCTTTATCATCTTTATAACCTTTATAATCTTTATCATTTTTATCATTTTTATCATCTTTATCATATTTATCATCTTTATCATTTCATTTATTTTTATCATATTTATCATCTTTATCATATTTATAACCTTTAAAATCTTTATCATCTTTATCATCTTTATAGCCTTTATCATCTTTATCATCTTTATCATCTTTATCATCTTTATCATATTTATCATCTTTATCATTTCAATTATTCTTATCATCTTTATCATGTTTATCATCTTTTTAATCTTTATCATCTTTATCATATTTTTCATCTTTATCATTTCAATTATTCTTATCATATTTATCATCTTCATCATCTTTATAACCTTTAAAATCTTTATCACCTTTATCATCTTTATCATCTTGATCATATTTATCATCTTTATCATTTCAATCATATGTATCACATTTATCATCTTTATCATTTCAATTATTCTTATCATCTTTATCATGTTTATCATCTTTTTAATCTTTATCATCTTTATCATATTTTTCATCTTTATCATTTCAATTATTCTTATCATATGTATCATCTTTATCATCTTTATAATTTCAATCATTTTTATCATCTTTATCATTTTGACCATATTTATCATCTTCATCTTCATCATTATCATCATCATAATCTTTATCATCTTCCCCATCATCATCATCATCATCATAATCATCTTTATCATCTTCCTCATCTTCATCATTTTTATCATCATCATCATCATCATAAACTTTATCATCTTCATCATTTTTACCATCATCATCTTCTTCATTATCTTCATCATTTTCACCATTTTCGGCGTATTTCTCATCTGTATCATCTTTATCATCATCATCATCATCATCATCACCAGCATCATCATCATAACAGCCATCATCATCATAACAACCATCATCATCATCATCACCATCATCACCATCACCATTATAGCAATAACAATCACCATCACCATCTTGATCATCAACATTGTATTTTTTCATCATGATTTTCATCATCAGCATTAACATCATCACTTTTACCACATCATCACCATTATTTTCGTTTACACATGTAAAGATGCATCTACCCATCTACAACTAGATTTATGCAGGTTTATAGATATAGGTGTCTATATAGATGTGGGTGAAAACATCTACACAATTACACATTTACAACTACACATGCAGATGCATAGATGTAGGTGCAAACAGCTACACCCCTACAACTGTATATCTGCATGTATATATATATATATATAACATATATATATACAGTATATATGTAGGTGTGTAGATATTAGATATAGGTGAAAATATTTGCACATCTACATTGAATAAGCAGGTGTATAGATGCTGGTGCAAAGGTCTTCGAGAACACATCTACACAGCGCGAGTCCTTTGAATATTTGAATCCTTTGAATATTTTACGAAGCGCACCCCTCTCGCACCAATTGTGTGTCGATCCTCAAAAACTGAAGCGATGTTGTGATTTGATTGTGCCGAACTTGTGTCGGAAGCTTCTGCGTGTAAAAACATCCACGTGTAGAAGCATGTGTGTGTAAAAGCTTCTGTGTCTCAAAGAATGTGTGCAAGAGCATCTGTGTAAAGACATTTGCTTGGAAATAGGCACCTATGTGTAAAGGCACCTCTGCGTAAAAACTTCTGTATCTACAGGCACCTGTGTGTAAAAGCTTCTGTGTGTGTACAGGCACCTGTGTGTAAAAGCTGCTGTGTGTCAAAGCTTTTGTGTGCAAGAGGTTTTGTGTGTAAAAACTTTCTTGTGTAACAGAAAACTTCTGTGTGTGAAAGACAGTCTGTGTACGGGTATCATTGTGTAAATGTTTTCTGTTTGTAAAAGCTTCTGTGTACATCATCACCTGTGGTTAAAGGCACCTGTTTGTCAAAACTTCTTTCTGTAGATGCACCTGTGTGAAAAAGTTTCTGCATGTAAAAACTTTTGTGTGAGGCAGGTTTTGTGTGTAGATGCTTTTCACGTGTAAAAACGTCTAAGTGTATAGACTCTGTGTGTGTAAAAGTATTATTGTGTAAAAAGAATGTGTAAAAAAACCTCTAAGCCTGTGTAAACCTACAAAACAACCCGCCAGGCTTACCCTACAGGAACCCACCACAGTTTGAACATGTTACAAATTTGTGCAAGTTACGAGTTCTACTAGCTCCAACATGCTGCATCTAGGATGTAATCGAAAGATTCGAGGCCCTAAATGCATCAAAATGCTGCAGATTGAGAGATTTGAGCTCGAACATGAGAAATTCTAGCTTTAAAATATGGCGCAATACCCTGGAAATAAGATATCTTAGTTCCAAAATGCTGCAAACATCGTGGAAATAGCATGTGTTTGGCTCCCAAATGCTCCAACATGTCGCGGATCCTGTGAAATAAGAGATTTAAGGTCCAAAATGCTGTAAATAGCAACAAGCAGACTGGAGAAAAGAAATCCGCGCCACGTATCCAGAACTATACATACCTATACATACCTATACCAGTCCTATACTAGTCCAATACCTGTCCATGCCTTCCTTTGCCTATCGACCTACCTTCATACAAACCCAACCCACATTCGTACGTACTTACCTAACTACATACCTACCCAGCTACCCAGCTACCTAGCTACCTAGCTACCTAGCTACATACTTGCATACCTACATACCTACATCCCTTTATACCTAAATACCTACATATTCACATTTCTAGCTACATACCTACGTACCTACATACACGTACCTACCTAGATACTTAGATACTTAGATACATAGACACAAAGATACAAACATAGATAAATTCGATAGATAGATAGATAGATAGATAGATAGATAGATGCATCCTAGATAGATAGATGCATCCATCCATCCATCCATCCATCCATCCATCCATCCATCCATCCATCCATCCATCCATCCATGTGACGTGGCAACGACATACGTAACGACGTACATACATACAGAATTGCCATATATAGTGTTATATAGTCTATTTACACATCTAACATAGATACATGCGCACACGTTCTTTTCCGGTTTTAAGAGGTAGGTTCTCAATTAATGATTGGGTCCTGGAGTTAACGAGGTAGGCCAGGTGATCACATGTGGTGTTCCCGGGATTTCACTCAGCGCCCAGATCTCTACATCGGCTATGTGATCAAACAACGTGGCTGTCCTGAATTGAGAACCTATGACGATGTGAGCAACACCGAGTGGTGCAGAGGCGCGCCCTATCAAAACCAAACCTGGTCACTGGAAGTTGGGGTCATTGGAAGCTGGGGGACTCGGGAACCAAATTTGGTTCGTAACTTGCCAAAAAAGGGTACAGATCATGCATTACAACCCGAGAGTTGGTTAAGAATCCGAAAGTTTGAGGCCCAGCGCCCTTCAATTTTTTATTTGTTGATACAGGGAAATTTCCACCATAGTAGGTCGAGGGTCCCTCAGATTCTTAGAACATTCTTATTTGTGTAATTATTGTATTATATATACATACATACACACATATATATATATATATACACATACATACATACATATATATATATATACACATACATACATACATACATATATATATATATATGTATACCTATATATATATATATGTATACCTATATATAGATAGATAGATAGATAGATAGGTAGATAGATTAATTAGATAGATAGATAGATAGATAGATAGATAGATCGATAGATAGATAAATGGATGGATGGATAGATAAGTAGTGTTATATAAATAACCCCATGCCTGCGGAAGAGAAGAAGAAAGAACAGGCCTGCAAGAGCCACTGATGGGCCCTCGTCCGGGTTGCAAAACATGCCTGGAAGGTTGGAGGGTGGTGGCCTGTTTGGGCCCTTCAGGAGCGCGCTGAGTGCATTGGGTCGCGCGCGCCTCCGCGCGCAACCACAACCCAGGCGAAACCCCAGCCCCGGGCAGCCAGCCCAGAGAGAATAAAAAGGCAAAATTCTCCGCAGGCAAGGGCTCTGTAGCACAGTGGGTATATAACGTGTCCGCCTTCAGACTCGAAGGTTATGAGCCCAAGTCCCGGTGTGTTCGCGACCTCTGGGGCCAATCACACTTGTAATCACACCAGGCGGGTTTCGCAAACACACGCAGACAGGCCTTCATCGTTGTTTTGGTTTGATGGTTTTCCTATGCTTGCCCTGGCCACAGCTCCCCCACGTATAAATATGTATAAATAGTAGCTTCAGAATTTGGCAATCCAATCCCAGGGTCCCTCAAACTCTGAAAGTCCTGTGTCCTTGGTACATCTGAAAATATGTAGCCCACATTGGACCGGAACCATTCAAGTTCTTATGCAGTGCACTCTCATACAATACTCAAGCTGTACCAACTAAACCGTGGTTCAGCTAGTAGTCACCACCCATGGAGTACACTTTTCTATTTTTGTTTCCCATGAACTGTTATTGGAATCCATAGAGTGATACTTCGGTCAGTTGGTGCTGCAACACGACTCATTCTGGCATTCCAGTTGCCCCGCTTCTGACGAAGAGGACTGCACGATGGCTGATTGAAATTAGGATTCGTGATAAATAAATAGCTGTGCAGCACACATCCTGGAATATTTGTCAGCAGAACATATGTCAGTTCATACATCAGAGCACACAACTCATGTTTACACATATTCTATGAATATCATACCAATATGTATTTACAAATTTGTCTACCAATAAGTTCAGTAGACATCTGCCAGATCAGCTGCAGGTTACCCAGGTCTCTATCGCCCATTGGCGTGGATTTGCCCGGAAACTTGCGGGTGTAAATCTTCGGGCGACGCCGACCGCCACTAGGATTGAACACATCCGGGTAAAATATAACGACCTCACCGCGACCAAACCCTAGAATGATGGTTAGGGCTGTTTAGGGGAATCATTTCTTAAATGGCCGAACTTTTGAGGTAAGTGAAATATTATATGGCTTAAACCAGAAAACATGAACGGCTTGATTTTCAGAGGCCCATGTCAACTGATGCTGGTGTTTTTACTTTGCATGACTGGGTAATTCTTGTGTGTTAATGTTGGTAGTATATCCCAACACGGATAGTGTATATCCCATTACTGGGGCCCTGGGGTCCCACTCAACGTCCTTCATGATCATGGCCATACTGCAAATCACAGCATGGTCAACAACCATAGACTATAGAAGGGATGTAGCCTATAAGCATAGCCTGCCGCCAGTTCAGGGATTCACTTGCCATGGCGTTATGTTTTTAGTTCCGATTCCTGGGTATGGTATTTTTTCAAGCAATTGGAAGGCTCCGGAAAATTGGTCTGGGACCGTTGGAGTTTGGTGCTGAACCATTGGGGATGCCCCCCCAAACCTGGAACAATGCGGAACTGTGGCCCAGGTCTGAAGCTTTCATCCTCGTGTGGTGTACATCGGCATTCTTTGTTTCTCATGTATGGGGTTGGTTCACCCTATTATACATATATTCGTACATATATTGATAACCTTGTCTATATATATAACATGATATATATATATATACATACACACATGTGTGTTTTTCGAGGTGTGATCTGGATTTCACATGTTAAGATCTCCAAACCCATATCTTTGGAACAGTGGCTACGCAAGCTGACTTTTGGAGCCCAGGATGTATCATGAAACATCACTTGGGTGAGTCTAATCTGGTAAAGCGCTGCATTTACGAAACCCGATCAGCACACGTATAAAACCAACTTCAGGGAGAAACTGACCATATTGAGTAGCAGCTAATATTCCCAGAATTGAATTTAACCCAGATATTTTCATAGCACACAATAGCAGATCCCTAGTTTCTCATGGAAACGTTGAAATGAATGGAAGGGAAACTTAAGTATAAAGAAACATGTTGAACCCCCCTGGCCCGGCCAAAAACAACTTGCGAGAACTCGAGGCGACAAGTTCTGCTTCGGCCACGACTATTGCCCCTTGCCACTTGGCAGCAGTGGGGACTACAGACTTTCTGTCCCTAGTTGTGTTAGAATATGGGGATTGGATTCGAAAATGCAAATTCAACCATGTATGGTTGGAAAATCCCTCAAGGTTGATTACTGTAATAGTTTTCTTGACAGTAATGTGTATATATATATAGTATGTATATGTACATTTGGTTGATATTATGGGGATTACTATTGGAAAAAAAAACCTTAAAATATGGGCATCCCCAATGATTCCCATAACAGTAGCTGTTGTCATGGCCTACACTTTCTGATCTTCAGTTCGGATGTTCGGGACAGCAACGTAGCAACGTTCTGCTTTTGGATAATTTGTGACTACCTGGAGATTCCAAATCCTGAGGAATTTTGGGGTTTGCTGGTGTTTACCTGGTTGCATCTAAAGTCCATGGATTTTGATTGTGAACAAAATGTGAAACTCCTAAAACTCCTGACTCTTGGGGTATTGCTTCAGGGCTTGTCTCAGTTCCAAATCCCAAAAAGATGGAGAGCAAACATTTTCAGAGTGTCCAGATTCAGGGATGACCACGCTTGGTAATACACACTGTGAAATGACAGGAACTGAACCTGCTAAAATCACAAACTAGAAACTCTTGAACGAGTCCGGGAGCTCATGAATTTCTAAATTCTAAATACTGTTACTGATATTTTGGAGAGTCCATTTCGCACCCAGTGGAACTCAATTTGTCCCACACAGCTTAGCTGCCAAGTACCGTGCCCGAAAACGTGACCCACAGTGATGCGCAAGCTTACCTGCGTCGGCCACTTGTCCGCAGCCTTCGGAGCTCCGGCGGACTCCGGCCACCACCAACCTTTCCTGAGCTTTTCTTTTGGGAACTCCATGGAGATGAAGCACAGAAATTGAGGATATTTAACTTTTAATACTTTTCAGTGATGGTGAGAATATGGTGAATCATCACTACCTGGACCAAACCCGGCTGGCTCTAGGTGTTGTTGTTTTTTGTCACAAGCCGAAGGAGAAACAATGTTACCATACCATAACTTACCATGGCCAGATCGGATCACTTGACTTTTTCCCACTTTTTCCCCTGCCAGGTGAGGGGCTCTATTTTATCACAGACTTTCCCGCCTCTTCTCCTCTTCTCCTCCTCGTCCTCAACGGCGAGCGCCAGATCGCAGGGGGCACTGCCAACCCTCAACTGCGATCTCCAGATCTCAGTGCCCACTGCCCACTGAGATCTGGCGCTCGCGGTTAGGTCCGGCAGTGCCTATGTCAGAGAGAAGGTTTGAATAAATGCCAGAATAGAATGTCAGAATAGAATGGCAGAATAGAATGTCAGAATAAATGCCAGATACCAGCAGCCAGGTTGGTGACATGTTATGTGGCTTTGTCTGAACATGTGATTCAAAACCCCAAGTATGGCCAGCAAACCACGGGTAAAATGACATGTGTATATTTACAGACAAACCTAAACTTGGAGTTTTTTGCGGAACTTTTCCAGTGATATCCAGCACATCCATTATATTCACCGGTGGATTCAAGGGTTAAAATCCCTTGGATTTCAGACTGCTCTACCCGGAGTTTTGGACATACTTGGATGACACAATTATTGATGTTCTATTCGCTTGAGCAGTGTTCAGTAGCCTTCTTCGTTGTTGATGATTATATGTAGGGCCAGTATTAGAGGGACGACACAGGGTTTTGAACACTGCTCACTTGTGGAAAAGGTACTCGTATTGGGATGATCTGCAGCTGATATGGATCAAAACATCGGGTACCCCAAAATCCAGCGGTTCTCAACCTGATTTGTTCTCTTTTTGAATTGCAATTCTGGGTTCTACCCGATTTCTCGGCAAGCCCAGATAGAATGCTTGGAAACTGGGGTCTTGCCGCATAAAAAGTGAGTACTGCGCGAGGGCAGTTTCGGCAGTTTCGCCCTTTGGTGACATCACCCAATAAAGTGTTTGTGAATCTGCTACAACAAGGAGAGAGAGAGAGATAATTACATATATATATATATATATTATAAATGTAATATATGTACATATATTTTTAGACTCATTTAGCGCGCATAATTTTTTGAAATGTAGAGTGACATCTCCCAAAGGACCAAGATTTGACGTCCATTGTCATGCATCGATGTATGTGATATACGTATGCGTTGCAGTGGGGGGATTTTAGGAAGTGACGTGGATTATAAGCCAATACTATTTACACACAGTACATGTATGTAATGTAAATGCAACTGTAACTGTAATGCTTTTTTAATAGTATGTGATATAGTGCAATATATATATAATGTAATTAATACACATGTACAGTAATGATAACTGAACGTAGATGTCATGTAAATGTGATGTATATAAATGTGATCTGCATGCAATTTAAATGTAATGCACATGAAATGCAATGCAATGCAGTGTTATGTTTTGTTGTGTCGTGTTGGTTAATCTTGTGTTTTGTCATGTAGTTATGTGAATGTACCCTCTGGTAATTCAACAATACGGAAATCACCAGTTAGGTTCAGTATATATTGTCGAACCTTTCATGGGCCATCTATATATACCCAATCTGTGACATCATATTTATATATACATATACAGATATGTATGTATATATACATATATATATATATACATATACAGATATGTATATATATATACATATACAGATATGTATATATATATACACATAAATATTATATATATATACATGTATATATTATATACATATATATATATATATACATATTATATATACATATATATATATTATACATATATATATATAAATTATATTATATATTATATATTATATATACATATATACATATGCATATTATATATATATCCATACATATATATATACATATATCCATATATATATACTTTACATATATATATATACACATATATACTTTGCACATATATATATAATATATACACATATATATACTTTACATATATTATATATATATTACATATATATATATATACATGGCGCATGCTTGTGGTGTAAGAAAACAGGGTCCCTCTTGTTCTCCTCTTTTCGAGGATTGATCGCTTCCGCATCTTCTTGCACACGCCGATGATTCAGTTTGGTGGCCACAAATTGCCGTAAAACGTTGCGATACGCAATGGTGGCAATGAAGCGACGAAGCGCTGCGAGCCGCGTCCCAAAGTTGGGCGCGCTTGGTTTGACACATGGATGTGTCAAGCCATAGCAGCAAGATCTGGAACTTTGGGTATTTAGCCAAAATCGACCATGGGGCATCATGGGGATTGAAGCATTCGAAATCAGAAAAAATCAGGATCGAAGCAGCGTGGGTAGATATCTGGGTGACTGGTTGAATAACTTGGTGGGTTGTGAATATTTTGCAGTTTAAAGGGGGTATATTAACCTCACCGACCTAACGGTTCTTGATGTTACCTTCCCAGCTAGGAATTAAGTTGTTTGCGTGGTGTGTGAGTTTGCAAAGGAATTACTATATAAATGATTCAGCCAGGACAAAGGAATAACTTCTCGGAGTTTCACCGTCAGCCTCTGCAGATCAAAAGGGCTGTGGTGAGAACTGCCAGGACTTCAGCGCCTGGGCCCCTGGTTTCGACATGTCCCATGTGGAGTACACGTGGGCGTTCATATACTTTAGGACAAGCAATGGTTTTGACATCCCCCAGTTTGACAAAAAATACCACCTTGTCTGTCTTGTGCATATTATATATACTTATATACAGTTACATTGCATGTGATTATACACCAGTAGTACCGCACAAGGCGGTAGCGGAGGTTTCAAAGATAGGAAACTATAGGAGATGTGAGTTGTTGTGATGCATGGATGGCAGAGCGGATCCACTGATGGACCGAAAGGTGGTTGTGATTTTTGGAGTGGTTGCAGTGGTCACCCCACCCACGACTGCAGGATGTAGTGTGGCGTAGCGAAGTGCAATGTGATTGTAGTTGCAGTTGCAGTTGTAGTTGTAGTGTGGTTGATGTTGTTGAAGTTGTAATGTTGTTGTAGTTGTGGTTGTTGTTGTAGTTGTCTTGTAGTTGCAGTGGTAGTTGTAGTTGTAGAAATTGCAGTTGCAGTTGTAGTTGTGGCTGTAGTTGTAGTGTGGTGTAGTTGTGTTTGTAGTGTAGTAGTTGTAGTCGAAGTTGTAGTTGTAGTAGTAGTAGTAGTAGCAGCAGAAGTAGTAGTAGTAGTAGTAGTAGTTAGTAGTTAGTAGTTAGTAGTAAGTAGTAAGTAGTAAGTAGTAAGTAGTAAGTAGTAAGTAGTAAGTAGTAAGTAGTAAGTAGTAAGTAGTAAGTAG